TTTTTTTTTGGAGGGGGGGTTTCCTCTCCTTTGCAAGACTGGAACCAAAGTTGATATTTTTCCCCAATTTTCATTTTGGGGGAAAAAAATGTTTGCTGCTGCTGTTTGCTTTTTTTAAAAAAAAGGGCTTGTGATTGATTATTATTATTATTATTATTATCGAGTTACTTAGTTCTCCCTTTTTATTGATTTGTTTTCCCCCTCTATTTTTATTTATTTATTTATTCTCTGTTTTTATTTTTTGTTTCTCTTTCTGTTTCCTCCTCCTTCTATATTTGCTCAGGTAGGAATATATATATATATATATATATATATATATATATATATATGGGGGGGAGGTAAGGTGTTTGTCCCCGTAGGGATTGATCTCCTGGGGGGAGGAGGGGAAAGGTGGTGTAAAATAATAATCATCATCATCATCATCATCATCATCATCATCCCCCAGCAGATCAATTCCTACAGGGAAAACACACACACCCCCAAAAAATTCCATGAGCAAACAGAAGAAGAAACAAATAAATTGATGATGATGATGATAATGATGATGATGATTCGTGGAGGTGGGTTGGCCTGGATTTCAGGGGCCCCGATCCTCGGTGGGTTTACTCAGAAGTAAGTCCCCCTTTACTCCCAGGGAAGCCTGTTTCTGTGGGTCCCCTCCCCCTAAGACGCCAAAGGCAGCCTGGCAAAGGAGGCTCAGACTTGGGGGAAGCCCCATGGCTTACTTGCGAGTAAATCCTCTGCAGCCCTTGGCATTGTAAACCTGGCTTGGAAAGGGGGTGGTGTCTTTGGAAGGGAGATCTAGTGCATGGGGGAAGGGGGTTAACCTGTATAGTGGATTGGCAAGCAAACGATCCTAGGGATTTACTCCCGAGTAAACCAAGCCTGGGCTCTGGGAAAGGAGGCACTGGCGAGGAAAAGCCCCTCTGGCCACTCCTGGGGTTCGACTCCTAGGAAACCCTGGTGGGTGGATCGGGCCCACTTGCCCACCTTGGCTTCCGAGCCCACGATCTGGTCGCCCTCTGCCATCCTGGGGGTGGCTTTTT